CCCTCCACCCGGCTCCGCCCTCCACCCGGCTCCTCCCTCCGCTCGGCTCCTCCCACCCCCCGCTCGGCTCTCCCCCCGCTCCGCCCTCCGCTCGGCTCCTCCTCCCGCTCGTCAGGAGGCAAGAGGGCGCCTGGGCCACGCCAGCAGGTGTGCTAAAAGCACAGTCAGAGGGTGTGAATCCTGGCGGCTGTGGGAAGCACTTCCTTTCCCCAGGAGGTCGGCGGAGAGCCTAGTCTTTAACCAGGAGCCCACAACTCAACTCCACCCCTTGATTTTTCAGAACCTGAGGGAGGGGGGAAGTTTGAGGGGACTCTGAGGTGCTGGGGCAGGAACCAGGTAAGGGATCTGAGACAGCGGTGGACCAAGGCCACCGTCAGCGTCACTCAGCACTGGAGGGTGGGTGTAGCAGGGATTTTCAGCCGTTTCCAAGCCGGGAAGAGAGGCCCCAGAGCACAGAGAACTGCGAAGCTTCCTGCTCAAGTTCCGTCTGAGTCTTGACGTGGCGACTGGCAGCAACTCAGGTGCAGCACAGCTGGCCGGCATCTCGAAGCTGACCTGAAGCGCTCCAGGGCCGGAGCAGCGTCCGGGTCGGGGCACCCAGGTACCGCTGGAAACACAGGGTTTGTCAGAACGTCAAAACATCCACAGAACAGACAGCCAAGACAACAGGGCTCCCAGCGCCGCCTTCCTACTCCCCAGTGCCTGGCCTGCCCACCCAGGGTCCTGTCCCATCCTTGGTAACAGAGGGACTTCCTGGGAGGCCCGCTGTAAACAGCTTTGTTGGGCACACCAGCCACCCTCCCCACTGGTGTGGACGACGTCCAAAGGGTCCTGGGAGGAACTTGCAGGACCTGGGGCCCCTCTGCCACCGGTGTGATCCTAAGCTCACTGTCCACTCGCTGCCACTTGGCAGTATCGTCAGAAACTGGAGAGAAGGGGCAGACAGTCTGCTTTCCGTTCGGGTCTGCTGCATGGGGACCCCAGACCTTTCCGAGCTGTGGGGTCCAGCTGCGGGTGTTTGTTCCCTCGGGCTTCCCCTCCTCCTCCCCTCCTTCCCCTCCCTCTTCTCCTGCCTCCCCATCCCTCTTCCTCTCCTTTCTCCTACTCCCCTTCTTTCTCCTATCCCTACCCCCTCCTCCCCTTCCTCCTTCTCCCCTCCCTCCCCTGTTTACCCCTTGACAATTTCCCGGTTCCTGCTCTGTGCCTGGCTCCTGCCGCTTTCCCTCTGGACAGCTCTGCGGTGCATCACTGATCGCTCAGCTGCCACTGTTCTTCAGCACCAGTGATCCCTCCTCCCCCGGAAGCCTTCCTCTCTCCCTCTTCAACACCACACCACTTCCCGCCACGTCCAGTGGAAGTCTCAGTCCTCCGTCAGCCTGTGAGACCGGGACCCAGTGTGCTCTGAGGTCCCCAAGGTGTGAGCCAGGCCTTGTTCCGGGATTTGTCACAGGAAGAGAAGGAGGCATCAGAGCCAGTGCTGGGGCTGAAGCTGGCCCAGGGGGAAGAACCCACAGGGGAGAGGCCCTCCCAACCTCCCCCACTTCTGCTCCAGTGTGGAACCCAGGAGACCCTCCCCAGAGCAGGAGCTGCTGAGCAGGGGCTGATAGGTGCCCTCCCTTGGCTCCCTGCTGCACAGCCGTGGGAGGGAGGGTGCAGGAGGAGGGGTCGGGCTAGGAGGAGAGGGTGGGGATGGGGGAGCTCGGGGTGCTCTGGGCAAAGCCTCCTCTGCTCCACCTCTCCCCACTCAGGCTGAGACGTCTAGCGTTATGGGGGCACTCGTTCTAGTCCTGTGGGCTCTGCTGATGTCTGCAGAGTGTGCTGGCAGCCCCACAGGGCCAGGTAAGGATGGCCGCTGGGCTCCGGGGCAGGGGCGTATCTCCCGCGGGGGCCCTTTGCGCGCAGCCGGCTCCAGCGCGGCCTGGTGCTGCCCCATAGGTGAGAACCTGAGCTGCTACCAGTGCTTCAAAGTCCCCAGCCGGGCGTTTTGCACACCCACCGCATGCGCCTCCACGGACCGGGTCTGCGTCTCCAACGCGGTGGTCTTCACCCTGAGTGAGTCCCTGGCAGCGCCACATATGCTACAGACAACAGACAGAGCGACACAAAAACAAGCAGCGCAGCACGGGGAAGCTGGGCTCCCCCCAAGACCGCCCCTTCTCCTGCGGCGATGGTCCCTTGAGAGGCCCCCCGGACACCTCTACACAAACGGAGTCGGGGAGCCCAGGCCTGGTGCAGCGGGTCCCCTGTGCTCACCAGCCATGTCCTCTCTGCTCTGCTTCACCCCATCCCAGGCCCCTGGGCTGCCCAAGGGTTCAGGCCATGTGTGGCTTCAGGGAAGAGTCCCGACCTTGGTCACCCCATCTTAGCTGTGACATTGAAGGTGGCCTTGAGCAGCTGTGCTCCCACTGCTGTGCAGGGCCTAGCCTGGGAAGGATCAGGAGAAGGTATCTGGTAGACCTTCCAGGACCAGAAGTTCTCTGACTCAGGTTTGGTTCTGGCCTTCCCTGCCCACGTGGAGAGCACACCCCAGCCACCACCCCACCCCTACCCTGGACCCATGCCTCGTTCTCCTTCATGGACGCTTGTCTCCTCTTTTCTGCAGGATTAAGGGTGAAGATTTTGCTCAGCAAGCGCTGTGCTCCCAGGTGTCCCAACACCAACATGAAGTTTGAATGGTTGTCAGGCCCCGGGCTATTGGGCCAAATCATCAGGCAGTGCTGCTTGGGGTCCCTCTGCAACGGGGCACCCACCCCTCAGGAGAGTCACTGGGCCCTTCCGAGGGGGCTCCTGCTCCAGGTGGGCCTTGGCCTCCTCCGGGCCCTGCTGTGAGCCCTGGCCCCTCAGCCCTGCAGCCCCACCTGTCCTCCCACCTCCAGCCTCTGTCCTGCTGCCATCCCTCTCAAGACCCTGGGTGGGACACTCCCCGCTCTGAGGCAGTCACAGGGGCTATCACCTCCCCCTGGATCCAGCCGCCTCTCCTGTCCCCAGGGCCCTTTGCTCACACAGCCTGGAAACGGAGCCCCACTCCAAGTGGGGAAGAATGGGTGTTTCCCAGTTTGGAGTAACAGCCACTGCCCTGAATGTTCTGTCCAGGGCCCCGTGAGGGGTAAAAAGAGCCCAGCCAGGATAGAGGAAGCTCAGCCCTGACTCTGGCTCGCCCAGTTCTGTGATCGTGGCCCCTCCAGCACCACCGTCCTGGCTACCTCTGTCCGTGGCCCAGGCAGAGTCTTGCGGTGGGACTGTGACCTTCACTCCTTCCGGAGACAATAAAGTCATTGTCTGACTGCACCCCTTCTTGCTTCTTCATTATCTCCACCCGCTGAGCCCAGACTACAGCCCCCTGGCCAGCTCGCAGCAGACTTCTACTGCCTTAACTCTTTAACTATGACACGGATTTGGTGAGTCAACATTCATCAATTCTCTGTCTGTTGGCCTCTGTTCTAGTCCTGTGTGCAGGGTTCCCCCTGTCCTCTTCCTGTCCTGTTTCCACTGATGGAGCCTGGGTGTCTGTGTCTCCCGAGAGGGCCCGCATGAGGACGGGGCTCTCAGGCGGCTTTGGAGAGCAGCCGGATGGCAGTGTGTGTGGACTGTGAGGGCCCGGGGGAGGCCGGCAGCTGGGGTGTCCCGATGCTGCGCCCGTTCCCCTCACCCTAAAAAGATACCCAAACACGCCACGTTCCAAGTTGGCCACGTCCATAGTAGAGTCGTGAGGCAGGTCACATGTTAACTTCACATGCAGCAGAGTCCAAACAACCTGTGTTTTCCCCCAGGTTCTGTTCCTCCAGCCTCTCCCACCCGCTGGGAGGACCCGCACCCCCAGCATTCTGCTCAGCCTTGAACGCAGCAATCTAGTAGGCTCATTTTGTTCCAAATGTCCAGATTTTTATCATTTAACAAATAAATTACCCTACGGGCCATGTCCTCTGACCATACCCACTTAAATTACACATTTATAACAAAGAAGATAAACTTTAAAATCCCAAATATTTGGAAATTCGATTGTTATGCTTCGATTTGCTCATCTGTTGAAGAAGGAATTACAGTAGGGATTTTTTTTTTTAATTCCTTGAACTGAACAGTGATAAAAATCAGGGCAAACTTTTGTTTAAAAAAAAAGGCACTGTCAGGAAAATGGATGCATTACAACTTCACATTACCAAAGCAAAGGGGCTGAAGCCTCAATAAACCATGTGTTTAAATCTAGAACCTGGAGAAAGAACAACAAATTAAGCCAAAAGAAACCAAAAATAACAGGTGACTGGATAAAGAAGATGTGGTATATTTATACAATGGAATACTACTCAGCCCAAAAACCGACAACAT